GGATCATCTTGCCTTTGAAAATTAGTAAGTAACAAAAGATGATACAATTTCCATACAAATAATCTGTAAACTTGCAGACTTGATGCTGGTGGCAATTAAGTCAATACGTTTTTCCATCAACGATAGATAAGATGGGACTATATTTCTTGGTGGGTGGCATTAATACAAGCCACCAATCGAATATTATGGTTTCATTTTATCTCTTCACCATCTCCTATAAAGAATTGATCATTCATTAGTTCCTCGTAATTTGTTAAATAGATAAATATTGTTCTTTTTTATATTAATTAAAAAAAAAGATGAGAACTTTATCAATTAGTTGGTATTATTTTTTAAAGTAATTTTATCATCCAAGTAAATATTAAAAAAATGATTTAATTTTTATTTGTTTTGATTTCCTGGATTTGAGCCAACTGTTACTTCTTTTTTTTATCATATCATCAATTCTATTATTAATTTTATTGTTGTTGTAAAGTAATCACACGAAAAAAAAATTTTTCCAATGAAATCAAAAAACAATAAAAATAACAGCCTTTTGTAAGTGAAGAACTGAATAGGGAGGGGAATTAACGTTAGCGTTAGCGTTAGGATTCAAATTTGGATTCAAATTCAGATACAAAATTGGCATTAGTATTAGAGGATTTAGATTCAACATAAAAAAGATCATCTCGGATAACTTAAAAAAGAAATTCATGCAAAAAAATTGTTCATATAAACGCTGAATTCTGTAAATAATAATAAGTAGTATATAATCTTCGAGGTTAATGTCAGTGGTGAATAAAGAATGAACTTGGATACGAAGTTCCGATTGGCTAATTTAAATTTACGCACAAGTGTCATTATGCTGGATACATTGATTTTTGAATTTATCCAAGCATTGTAACTCCAATGGTAAATTTAAAGAAATAATTATGTAATAACTTAGAAAAATTTTTTTTTAAATTTCATTACCGATTTCCGTGAATTAAAATTATTCTGGGTAACTTTTTTTTTTTTTTTATAAAAAGACAATTATTTTCAATTTGATCAATAATAATTAAAATTCTACTAAAATTATTCACTAATAAAACAAAGAAATCATGAAGTTTATTTTGCTTTCCCTTTATTGGCTACGCTCTCCATTGTGATCAATACTATTCCACATCAATATCCTCTTTATCACCTGGAAAACAACCACCACCTCAACTCAATGTCCAACTTTCACCTGATCCTGTCGTTCCTGAATAAATTGATACTTTTACTATTTCTAGAACATTAAATCGTCCTGCCATCAAATTGACAGTATCGTTGTTGTATTTTTTGATCCTGTAGCTAAGGTTACCGTAGTGATCCAATTGTTGTGCCAATCAACCCTGGAACACCGTTTTCTCAAATAGTGGAGGTTCATGTACCAGCAAAGTTACCTAAATTCATACGGCATTGGAGTTACTGTTGAGAATATACAAGCTACGACTTCTTTAGGCTGTGCATATAATATTGTTTGCGATGCTGCTAATCTGCGGATATTGGCTTTTATCTCGTCTCATTATAAATTATAGTTAAAATAATAAAAATCAAACAGAATAATTTAATGGTTAGTTATTTTTTACAATGGATTCTACTCGATTTAATTAATTTATATATTTTATTATTTTATATTGTCGCTGTCATCATATATATTTGTATGTATGTTGATTTAAAACAAGCAAATTCGAAGTATTTAAAATTTTATGAATTCCAAATTTTTTATTCACTATTACTATGAATAATAATCTACGGTAATTTCATATCCAATAACGCATGGCAATTTGAAAAAGACGAAAAAAAGTGCATTACATTTTCAAGTATATAGTGAATTAAAAAGGAAGATCAAAAATGCGGGTCATATTGAGATAAGAAGCAATTGATTATTGTGAAAAAAAGAAGAGTCGATGGTTGGTGGAAATTGGGACCCAAAAAAGAAAAGATCAAAAAACCGACAAATTCAAGAAATCGAAAACTCTTTTCAAACAAATCCATATTAATATCTACGTAGAAGATCTATCCATATACAGTCCCCGACGAAAGTAATGACGGTACAATGAAACATCTTTTTATATTAAATAAAGTTGTTCACAATGAAAAATTCTACATATCCTAAAATTTTTTGATGTGTTCTTGCAGTTTACATTTGTGTAAAAAAATTTGATTTTTATATTTCGTAAAAGCGTAAAATATAAAAACATATTAAAAATTTTTAGGATACGTGGAATTTTTCATTTCGAATAATTTTATTTAATGTATAAAGATTCATTTACTTAATAAAAAAAAAGTTTAATAGAAAAATGAAATTTAAAAAATTTTTAAAAAAGCCAAAGTTCCGATTTTTTTTAATGCTCAAATTAGATTCAAACCGGGATTGAGAAAGGAGGAAACGTTTTATACTATAAGCTTTTAAAAGTATAATGTTTTACTTGGAGGCGTTTTAAAAATAAAATTTTATTGATAGTTGTTTATTAAAAATTTTTAGTTTTTAAAAAAATTATCACCGCCATTACTTTCGCCGGAGACTGTATTTATATATGATATTTTTGAAGTTTATAAACTAATATTTATATTAAATATTTATATTTTAACCATTAAGAAATGAGGTGCTCAATTCAAGGAAGAATACAATATTTTAAAAAATATTACTATTGATTAATATTTTTAATTATATATATATATATTATATTGATTATTATAATTGAAGTAAAATTTTGATTGAATTAAAGAATTTTTCTTAATTATAATCAAAGGTGACGACGATAAAAAAATCACTCAACGAATATACGTCAAAAATAGAATAAAGTTCTTTTAATTGTTCAATTTACATCTCTTTTCTATTTTAATAAATAAAAAAAACAAACAAATTGCAATGATCATAATCAGATGTACAAATAATTCATTATTTACTATTAAAATTTTTTTTCATTTTAAAAAAACCAATTAGATAGGAAAAACAGTTAATTTCTATATTACACTATTTGTTAATGACAAAAATTATTCCAAGTTGGCTTACAGAAGTACGTCCTACTACTTCAAACACTAATACTATGACTTCAACATGGACCTTACCAAATACTGACTCTTTACTTAATGGAAGCAATCATGTTGACTCTGTTTTCAACACTAGCTTTACTACCGGAAATGGTGGTGGCATTCGAATTGATACAACAACTAATCAAACCAAAGAGGCATCACAGCAATTACCATCGCCATCATTTAATGGATATAAAGATTTTAATAATAATAATAGTAATAATAATGTAACAAAATATAAATTCAATAGTTCATTAACAGCTTTATCAGCTTCACCTGATCAAACTCGTGCTGTTGTCGTTGGGCGTGAAGGTCGTTGTAAATTAACAAATTCAAAAAATTTTTTTTTAAATTTTTCACTCGAAAACTTACTAATAAATTTATATGCTTACATAGTGTTGAAAATTTTGAATGTATCAGATAATGAGATTATAGAAGAATTAAAAGTTAGGGTTGAAAATAAATTTAACAGTAATGATGTTAAATGGGGAAACAATCGTTAGTATTATAAATAACATTTATCTTTATAAGGAAAAAGTATGCGGGAGAGAGTGAGTGTGTATGTGTGTTTATTATTTTTTGAATAGTTACTTATTGATCTACATGAAATTTATGTATTTTAGTTACAAAAAGCAAAATAGCTACTGCTGCTTCAAATGGTTCAATTGTTATTTGGGATATAGAAAATGGCAGATCAAAGATTGGTGAGAGGATTCTTTTATTAGTGTGTACATTGACAAAAAATCTATCCGCTTTAAATAATAATATTCTAATAATTATTTACAGATCAAAAAATCGATGATCATAAACGTGCTGTTAATAGAATATGTTTTAGTCCATTGCAAGGTTCGTCATTGTTAAGTGCCTCACAAGATTGTACTATGAAATTGTGGGTAGGTGTTTCTGATCTATTTATTATATTGTTAAATATGTTAAATTTTTTAGTTAATTTTAAAATAAATTTTTATTTATTTTAGGATCTTAGAGATTTAGAACGGGCAATGAATACATTTCAAGGAAGATGCGAAGGTGTTCGTGATGTGCAATTCAATTCAATGAATCAATATGAATTTGCTGCTGCATTTGATAATGGAACAATTCAGGTGAGATAAACCAATGTTATTTATATGCATTAGTATAAATATATTCTGATAAAGTTATTTATTTAATTAAAGAAATGGGATATTAGGAAACCAGTAGTTCATCTAAGAAAATACAATGCACATATTGGATCAGTATTGTCTATTGATTGGAGTTTTGATGGTAGAATCATTGCTAGCGGAGGGCGTGATAAAATCATCAGAGTATACCTTTAATTATTTTTTTGTAATAGTGATAATATAATAATGATAATTCTAAGTTTTAATATTTTAATTAGATATGGGATATGGATTCAGAAAGTAGAAAGCCAAAAGATACAATCTATACCATGTCAGGTATATCTTATATTAGATGGAGACCAAACTATCCAAATGAGATTGCATCATGTTCGTCATTGACTGATGTAAGAGTATTTGTTTGGAATGTTAAAAGACCTTACATCGCAAGTTGTTTCTTTGAGACACATGAAGAAGTTCCAACGGGTATTAATTTATAATCTTGTAAATTATTTATCATATATTTTCGTAATCATAGATAATATTGCATTTAATAGGAATTTTATGGCATGATCCTGATGTGCTGTGGTCTTGCTCAAAGGATAAATATTTTATACAGCAATATATCAAAGGATCACGTCGACCTTTAGATTTATTAAGTAAATGCGGAATTGGCTGGAGTGTCTATGATCAACTAGCATTTACTGTAGATAAATCCAACAACAATAATGATATAATTGATGATCAGTAAGAATTTATTCTATTGATTTTTTCATCTTTGAATATTTTTTTTTAAAAAAAAAACAATATAATAATCATATTCATATTGGAGCAGAAATATTAGGCAGCCTTTGAATAATCAAATTAAAAAAATGCAAAGACGTATATCTCCTGGAACAATAGATTCATCAAATGAGGTATTTATAATTAATTGGCCAGATCTATTTCACATATAATTTTTAATAATGTTGTGATAAATAATATTAGGGTTATTACAAATTACAACAAAAAACTGGAATGGCACATTTTAAAGCGTTTGATTATAGAGCATTTTCATATCTTGCAGGGAATTATATGATTTCTAGTCAAAACATTTGGGAAGCTTGTGAACATAATGCAAAAGTAAACTATTTTATTCTTTATTATGTTTTTTCTAAAAAAACTCATTTAATACTAATCACCTTATTTATCTATCTAGATTGCACACGATGCACAAAAATTTAGGACAGCACAAACTTGGAAAATAGTTCAACTATTATTACACAGAAGAACAGATAGCATTGATAACAATAGCAATGGTAATTATGATTATACAACACGCTTGCTTAGATCTAGTTTAAATATTAATACTAATAAATGAATGCTTTAGATCAAAATGGAGTTGAAGAACAACAACAGCACTCCAATGAATCTAATTTGGTGAATGAAAACAGTAGTAATACTAATACACCAATAGAAAAAACATCAGAAAGAGAAACAGGAGCATTAGACGTAAATGAAATTTGCTTTTATTGATTTATTATTTTATAATCATTTTCTATTAACATTACTATAATATTTAGGATGATTATTCATCTGACTCATCAGATGAAAGTGAAGATGAAGACAAATTTATAAAAGGGTCACTCGCCGATTACAAAACACTACAGAATCCAAAGAAATTTACTAAATTATCAGAAAAAGATTTTATTTGTGGACCAACTATAAAGATAAATTTAACGCCGTTATTTGATCAAGAACAAATAATTTCACAATTATTAGATTATTATTCAGAACAGGTAAGCATTTTTAATTATTCCATAGATAAAATTTATATATTATTTATTTTATTTGTTATACAGGGAGATGTGCAAATGTGTGTTACCTTAGTTCTTGTAATTGGAGATAGGATTAAGTTTAATAATGAAAGAGTAGAACAATGGTTTTTTTCATACATTGGTTTGTTTATTATCATTTAATCTTCAATTAGCGCATCATCATAATCGGAACGCTTATAAATTATTTTTAATTTCTAGAATTATTACACAGATTTCAACTTTGGATAGCAGCCACAGATATAATTTCTTCTTGCTCGATCGCAGCAGTTTCAATGCTAAATCAAGTAAATATTGGATTATCATTGTTGATGATTTCTTTTCTAAATTATTAAATTATTGTTATTTTTTTATTAATATTAGCAATCTACAACCATTTATACTACATGTAATAATTGTTATAAACCTATTCTAAATAATTCTTTGAAAAGTAATGGATTTTGGTCATGTGATAAATGTCATAAATTATTAAATTCATGTTCAATATGGTGAGTTTCTTGTATTATAGATATTTTAATATTTATTAAATTTAATATTCTATGCAAATTTTTCATTAAAAAGGATACTTTTTTTTAGTCATAATATAGTCAAAGGTCTTTATACTTGGTGTCAGGGTTGTAGTCACGGGGGACATTTAATTCATATGCAACAATGGTTTGATCGAAATAACGAATGTCCAACCGGATGTGGACACAAGTGTTCTATAGGAAAGTTTTCATAATTTTTATTTATTATTTTTTTTAATTATATATTTATTGTAAATTTTATTTGAACTTTTTGAAAAGTGAGTATGAAATATTTTACATTTCCATATTTATATAAAATATATATATTTTAAAAAGTTTAAGATATACTTGCAAAAGACATAGATGATGAGATAGGAAAGATGATAACATATATAAATATTTTTTAGTTGCTCTTTTTTTCCGTTTTTTACGACCATTATTTGATTATTCAACATTTTTTTTCTTATTCGTTATTTACAAACATCGCATGTTTATGTACATTTATTAATCTATATACTTGAGTCAATTTGATTTCTAGCATTTTATCTTTTAAGAGGAAGAAGTGTTATTGGAGAAAGTATTGGAAGAAGTAGGTCTATGTTTAGACATTGACTATAAAGAAATAACAATAGTAATAGGTAGTAATAATAATACGCGTAATAAAATTTTTTTTCGAGTGCTGAAATTTACCAATCAACATGAATTCCATATTTATAACAATAATGCCTAAAGGAAATCATTCTTCAAATAACGCTGCCATTTTTTACTAGCGATAAATAAGTAGTATCCGATACTAATAACAATTTTCAATACAACAATAATTTGTCTTGTCCTTCTCAACAACTACAACATTATCACTTCTCCTTCGTCTTCTCATTACAAAGACAGGCTAGCTTTTTTTATTTATTTTAAGAATCGAAGAAAAAAAGACTCTTATTGAGGGGAATCGCAGGATGAATTAAGCAACCAAAATCTAATAACCAAAATCCTATAATTGATTTTGAATTTACAAAGCCAAGATCAACGATTTACCTTTTGGAGATGACTTGGGGAAAACTTTTAAAAGTGTTGAGCAATCCACTTGATTGTTAAAATTCAATTATAAAATAAAGAAAATATTGTTTTAATTTAATGGTTAGAAGTGTTTGATATACTATCATATAACGGGAGTTAATCGTTTTAAGAAAATAACTTTTTGAGTTTTTATTGGATTTGATTTTACGCGTTGAAAGTTCAATATTTCCTACTTCAAACTTTACATATTTTAATTTCGGATAATAAAAACAAGAAAGGTGATACTAGTATTATCCCATATTTAATAGTTTAGCGTTTAACGCTTTGCAAACAAAAAATATCAACAAAAAGCTGCGTCTAATTAAATAAAGGTTACTCGAACGTGACATGTGATTTTATGCGTTTTTAACTTCAAAGCCGAAAACCAATGCGAAAACCAATTTCACACACTATGTAAAAGTTGTTATATTTTAAGTCTTTATAATTACTAAAGTAGCAGTATTATTATTATTATTTTGCGATTTAATTTTTTTAAAACCGAAACTTTTTGCTTTAGATGAAACCCTTGATCTTTTAGATATCGAATAACAGCAGGATGCAATGAAATTATAAAAGAAATATCAGTAGTTTATAATAAAAAAGGTTTATATAGGCCAATGATTAAAATTAAAGGTGAAAGTAAAGTTTATTGTTTTCTTAATCAAAACTTGCTTATATTGAATGCCTTTTCCCCAAACATCTTTGCATCAATCAAACAAGTGATTTATTCATTGACTCTCTCGTTAATTAATCCAAGGAATGATGAATACATCAAAAATAAATCAATTTGTATGATTTTGTTTTGGTGTTTTTTGCATAAGGAATACTTGGTCAAGTGATCCTTAAAAACCATGCTATAAAAAATTGTATCTTTAATAATAATTTAAAAGGATTATTCAAAGAATTCGATATTAGTTAATTTGGACGTTCAGCGTTTCTGTGATCATATATGATTATTAAAAAAGAAGCGATGCATTTAATTAACACATAAAAATATATTTATAATATTTATTATAGAGATAAAATTTATTTTCATTTGGAACAGTTACTAAAATTTATCGCTGGGAATTTTACATATTCCACAAATATTATATTATTTCTTTATGGTCGATGTTTACTATATGCCTCTTTCTGTGCCAATCCATTAACCCTTATTTATCCTGAAGAATTGAATCTGTTTCTACAAGACCTGATTGTACGCGCAGTTTTTTTAGAAACGTACATCTTTTGACAACAGCGCAGCAGATAATTATAATTACTACAATTTTTTTCATTTTACGAAAGATGCTGACTGATTCAAGGTAATCATAATTCTACAATGGATTTTGGATTGGATGGTTAGACTGGAATGTTATTTTTGTTATTTTTTTAGGGAATTTATTTTCTAGCTATAAAATTATCCTAGAGACACATATCAGCCGATTTGGTTTTTTGGGCCTTTTTTCAAACTTTATGTCTTATTGTGTCTCGATGTTAAACACGAGTATTTTTAATGTGTAAACTGGTCGGTAGAATGATAATTACCCTAAAAAAAATTATTTGCTCCGCTAAAAAAACTAATTTACTATCTATCAACCCGTCAAACCAATGGCCCCACCTCAAAACCAATGGGTTTTTGCTAATATAAAGTATTCATAACGTTATGATCATACCGTACTGGATTTTGGGGATCAAACAAAATCAGCGCATATGAGGAGTCCTACGTCAATTTTTTTTAAAACAGATGCGCCACGACGTAAATACTAGTTATTAACAACACTAGCTTTAAGGCGTCATGCTGGACAAAAGCCTGCGGATATCCTGAACATAATGGAATGAATTTATGGAATGTCGTTGTTTCCGCCCAATATTTAAGCAAGAGTTGTTAGGTAAATTAACTTTTTTATTTTTTTAGATAGATGTTTATTTTAATTACGAGGTAAATAAAAAAAACTTTATTTATAACCAAGTTCGTTTAAATGGATTCGTAATAGGAGAGAATAGACGTGAACATATATATTCTCCAAGAAAAAATGTTGAAAACTTTTGAAGTTATCAGTTTTGGAGCCATTCAGTACTAAGCACTCATCGTGTTAACATGGTTGATCATTGCATTACAACACTCGAAACTTTATCTAGAAATTTTTTACGTGATTTTATGGAGGGTTGTAAGTTTTACATAAAAAACTTCTGATTAAAATTTTTTTAATTATGTGACATTGTTAGCAGAATGTGAGTATGCAGGAAGGGTCGGGGTTAACACATTGAAAAGACAAGTGAAGGATTTACATCGTGGAAACGTTACTGCATCGAGTAAACAAGGTACGTGGCTACATAGAATGTTTAAAGTTGTATGCAGGATTAGAGTACTTTAGACGATGTTGCAAGTTACACTTTTAGTAATTGCGGGAGATTGGGAAAGGCTATATATATATATATATGACCACAAATTTATCAAGGAGGGGTCATTTTGCTTCAAATATTTTTTACTTCTCAGTCTTATTTACCCCCAGTTTATAAGGGATCTTGTTTAACAATTTTTGGCAGGTATAGTTTATTATGTGTATGAAATAAAATTTTTAGCCTAAATTGTCAAGTAACGAATAATTTTTGGTTAACATTTAAAATAGCAAAATTTTCAATTAATTCTTTGGAGGCTAATTATTTAACATTTTAAAATTATTTTCTCAATTATTAGGAAGGTAAACTCTTATGACTAATAAAAATCAAAGAATATTTTATGTTCTTGCAATAATGTTATCATGTAGTAACTTTTTACTTTGAAAATATATAATATTTCCTCTTTCAATTCTACTGCTAGATTTATTTTTGGGAATACCGGATTCACCTCCTTCAAACTCACAAAAGAGGTATATACAACTGTTATCAAAATCATTATAATCGTAAAGAAGATCTGTTAATGTGACATGTGCAGTGATTGATTGACATTTTCTATAATAATATGAATTGGGAAATGGAAATTCAGCCCATACGGGTTGTAAAAAAAGTTGGCTTCAAATGTTTCCAAAACAGATGAATATTATTCATATTTCTATACATATAAATTTTTTTGCAATAAATATTTTAATCGATATTATTATTAATTTCTATAGGTTCAATACATTTATCGTGTTACATAACCTTTAGAATTATTCAATTGTAACCTTTAATTTTAATAATCATTTAATAATCATACAAATAATATAAATAATATAAGATATAGTAATAGATAAATAAATAATGAAATATTTAATCAAATAAATTTATTTTTAATTCTCCAAGTTTTTTAATTGATTGATCGTGACCTTTTATAGCTGCCATTTTATAATAGTTTTTACCTTTTTCTCTATCTTGTGGTATATTCCATTTACCATTATAATAAAAATTACCTAAATTAAACAATGCAGGTAAATTTCCATTATTGGCGGCCTTTTCTAAGTAATTAACACATTCTTGAATTAAAGATGGGTCATTGTCAGCCTCTGCTGCTATGAGAGTTGCATAGTGAAATTGTCCAATAGCAACATCATTATCTGCTGCCTCTTTAAATAATTCTTTTGCCTTTTTTGGATCTTTTTTAGCTCCACCAAGTCCTGTTGACAAATAATACCCTTTCCAATATTTTGCTGTAAAATCATTTAGAGTATCTGCGTGATATTCGAAGTATTTCCACGCTTTCTTTCTTGATTCATCAGTATGTTCCTTGTGAAGTTTTATGGCATCATCCAATGTTGGTTTTTTAATCTCTTCATCGGTAATCCCAGAATCACTATCATAATTATAATAATAATCATCATCATCATCATCACCACTGCTACTGCTATCAGTTATATTCTCACAATGTGGCTTTATTTTTGTAAAATAATTTTTTTTATATAACTTTTCCAATCGTTTAAGAATATCTGGCATATTTAGACGTAATTCAGGTTTTTGATGCCAAGCTATTAAAAATGGTTTTGATCATTTAGTGAATTTTGATTTTTTAATTCTCAATGTTCTATATAACATACAATAAATTATAATAAATCATTACCTGTGGAAATTATATTTTTAAAACATTTCTGAATTTCACCTGACTCAAAATTTAAATATTCTCGGTGACCCTTCCTGATATGTTGAGAAATTTCTTCATAGTTGTTATTAAATCTTTTCAAATATGGAACTTGTTGAAATGCAAGCTCCCATAGAAGCATACCAAAACTATAAACTTCACATTTGATTGTATATCTGATGTTTACCATGGGATTGGAATTCAGTTTTTCAGGTGCCATCCAAGGCATGATCTTATTTAATGATGGAATTTTTTTGCTTACATCCATCTGCTTTCTACTTAGACGGAAATTTGTAATTTTTGGTGTTGTAAGCTCTGGTCCCATGATCAAGATATTTTCACATCTAACATCATGGTGGAAAATTTGACATTCATGTATAAATTGAAGTCCAAGACATATATCATGAGCAATCTTAAGTTTTTTCTTCCAACTAATCTCATTTTTTTCATATACTTCTTTTAAATTTCCTAACTCAGCCCAATCAAATACCAAAGCATCTTTACCATCAACATATGATACACCATAAAATGATATAACACTTTTTGAGTGTTGTAAATTACTTAGGATTGTCAAATATCCTTTGGATAGTTCCTTTTCCTTTTCATTTGTTTGAGCTTCAAATGGTTTACAAGCAACTGGTTGAACTCTATTAAGTAGTTTTTTAAAAACTTTACCACGTATATTATCCTCGCCTGGCGGTGGATCTGTCAATTTACAACTGTCCAAAACTTTATCTGGAAATTCACTTTTAAAATTAGATTGATTTTTGCTTAACTCTTCCATATTTTTGCTAATACATGCAACCTTTTCCATTACAAACTCCATATTGTTTCCTAAATTGTCCACATTGTTTCCTATGTTGTCCATATTTTTTTTCATTAAGTCTAATGTCTATTAAAATAACCAATGATGAATTAGAATAAATTCATTTATTAAAAAAGAATAATCATTATTGTTGTTGCTGCGATTATTACCTGAATTACATCATTAAATCCTTCTTCAACTAGCACATTTAGGTTTTCAACTGTTTCAAAATTCTCTAGATTGATATCCAGATTTAAATCATTAATGATTTCATCATATTTTTTTATTTGATCAATAATTTTGTCTTTATAATTTATTGACTTTATGTATTTATTTAAGAGGTGTAATTCTGAAAAATCACCAAGCAATTTTGTAAGAGTAGTTACTGCCTTGAGGTAACGTTGAAGGTTATCAATAGAATTTTCATCATTAAATTTTTCTTTAATTTTTTTCTGATGTCTTTTCAGATATTTTAAACGATTTGCTCCTGCTTCTATTCTATCATATATTGCTGTAGAGAATTTTTTGAAGTATTTCACATTATTATAAGCTTTGTAAGCTGTAGCTACAAGATCTGTAATCTTTTCAATTATCGATATGACATCCATGCTTGAAACAAATGTGAAAAATAAAAAAACATTGGTATATAAATGCGTAAATGGTAAGTAGTACAGGCAGGCTGTGAATATTCCTTACTACTACTTTTGTATATCTATGGAACCAGAGCTGAAAATTATTCCTTTATTCGTTTGATAAACTATTCCATAGACATTTTAATTTGACCAATTAGATAAAAGGGAATATTTGGAAAAGAACCTCTTTGTTAATCAATTCACATGATATAGGTTCTATTCGTAATACAATTCTTGTAATAGTAATAGTAATAGTAATCGTAATAGTAATACAGTCAATCTTTAACACAAATAAAAGATTGAATGTTCGTCGTGTCACTATTGCTTGCCAAAACTCGTAATTTTTTTTGCTGATTTTTGAGATCGTTTCCATACTTCAACCAGATCTGCAGTTTTTTCTTATTCTGGCGTATTAGAGTCGTACGGCAAAGGTTTAATTTCTTATAACTTGCAGAGAAGAGAAGAGAAGAGAAGAGAGGGAGGAGGGAGCGTAGTTCATTTATATAGGTGATTTGTGATCTGCGAAAACCTGTTTACTTTTTTCCATAGCCACAAATTAATTTTAAAATTTGAATAAATAATTAACACGTATTAGAATGT